TAGGTCTTTCTCTTTGTAGCTTCCTCCTTTCTGGGTAGGGTGCTTCAAAAATTCCAGCCTTCCCAATCTCTAATCTCCTTTTTAAAAATTATGTTTTAATTGATATTAAAGAGAGAGAGGAAGGGAGAGAGAGAGAGAAACATCAGTGTGAGAGAAACATTGACCAGTTGCCTCCCATACACTTCCCAGCCAGGGTTTGAACCTGCAACCTAGGTATGTGCCCTGACCAGGAATTGAAGTGGTGACCTTTTGGTGCACAGGACAGTGTTCAGCCAACTGAGCTGTACTGGCCAGGGCTCCAATCTACTTTCTTTCAACTAAGTGGGACCTTTTTTCCCCTGCATCATGGTATGAAGAGTGTCTCCTGGGAGAAGTCAGGGCTATCATTTTAGGGCTTTCTTGTTAATGGAACCCCAGTGTTTTTCCTTGGGTCTGCCTGGTTGGATGTACTGGCCCAAAAAAATGCACAAATGGGAGTCTGCAGTATAGAAAGAAAAAATAGTTTGATATTGAATTGGTCAATACAGAGATGGAGAAGTAGTGGTCTATCTAAATCAACTCTCTGATGGCATGTAAATTACAGATCATATAGGGCAAAATCACACGACACTGTGGGCTAGATGTATGTAATAAACCATTCATTCGGTTCTTTTCCAGCATCCTCTGTCCAGTTGTTGCGGGGGAAGTAGACTCTTGCACTGTCACAGGAAATGCATTTCAAGGGTACATGCACAGGAGGATGAAGGGTAGTGACAAGATTTATTGGGGGGAGCCCAGCTGGGCGTGGCTCAGCAGTTGAGCATCGACCTAGGATCCAGGCGATCAGGGTTCGATTACCGGTCAGGGCACATGCCTGGTTGTGGGTTTCATCAGTGACTCTCTCATCATTGATGTTTCTATCTCTCTCTCTCCCTCTCCTTTCCTCTCTCTGAAATCAATAAAGATATATTTAAAAAAAAAAAAAGATTTATGGGGGGGAATAAAGGACTGCCCACAGGTTCCTGATGTCTCATCCACGGCAGGTGGCTCAGCTCCCTCTCCTTGCAGAGGAAGTCCAGCCTCTGGGGCTGCACCAAGCCCATGAAGACACCAGAACCCAGAACTGCCATGCCGTTAGCCTGGCGTCTGAGGCTCTACTACTCCAGCACAGTCGCTGTCCCTGTCTGGTCAGCCTTTGGTGCTGTGCTTGTCCTGCTTGTCTGTCATACCCAGGCCCATGTGGCTGCTATGGAGAGAACACACAAATGCCCCTGGGTCTTTGGTAAGCTTTGATTATATATTACCCTGGCCTTGGGAGAGAGTAGGTTTTCTTTCAAACTATCCAGTCTCTTTCCTTATTCTTCCCTGGCTTGTGCTGGGCTCTCACCCTGTCCATTCTCTTTCCTGGATCTCCTAGGGTTCCATGCCCTTATCCTATTTGATCTTTTTTCAGGCTAAAATCCTCCCCTTTATGGTCCTTCTTTTGGCTCCTACTGCCCAAGCCGCAAAGCTGTGCTTTGTCATCTGACTTGTACTGCGCATGTGCTTAGCGGAAGAACCTCCCCCTGTACCATCTTGGTTTCTACTGTGCATGTTCCCAGCAAAGGAAGTTCCCCCTCC